ATGTCTCAATGCCGACGCGGCGCCGTGTGAAGCCTCCGCCAAGCCGTAAGCCGATCGGTTCGTACTGTGAAAAAAAAAAGATCAGGAAAAACCGTAAGCCGATCGCAGTCTCGGTTATGGGAAGTAAATGAAAAAAAATATTTTTCTACTTATCTCCCGTGTCATGTTTTGTTGCTTAATTAGCGTAATTACGCGTCTGGCCTGTGTACGCGCTATCTGCCGCCTCGGTAGGCCCTTATCCTCGCGCATCCGAGGAGTCCCTTACCTCTTTGAGAATTCCACGAAAATGAAAAGCGTCCCCGGAGACTTTGGAGTCCTTCCTGTTATACGGGTGAAACTGAGCAACGAAGGAAAGCGTAACTTCGTCTCTGTCGAGATCGTTAACCTTCGCCACCCTCGGTCGTGCCGCGACGCCATTAAACTCTTTATTTATTACGAGGACACGCTATTTGGTAAACGTCGAGAAACGGCGGCTTCCTTATTCGAAGCTTTGCCTCTTCGACTGCCGTGAGCCCTATCCTCGTATCCCTTTACCTGCACCTATCTCCAGCCACCTAGAGACACCAGTCACCAATCTTGGCCTGGACCCGAACCCTGTAGCCATCTGGGAATCTGCGCTATCGTACCTACAATTCTTCCCTTTGCACGAGTAGACGCAGCTATCTGAAATTCCAAAGGACTCCAACCTCGGATACTCTTTTTTCTCATCTTCTTTATTTTTCGTTTTTTTTTTTTTTTTTTTTTTTTTTTTTTTTTTTTTTTTTTTCTTCCAAGATCCTCGTACCCTACTAGAAAGGTCAGAAGACTCAACTGAAAATGCTTTAACGCAACTTCCGAGAGCCACCACTTCCGGCCAGGATCATCCGTCACATTTATGACGTGCTCGCTTCTACGTGGCTACTAACGAACCTGCCTGCTCTCCACTGTGAAACGATTCATCTCAAAATATCGTCCCTCTAATTATGCCCCGGGACTCGCTCCTACCCGAGCGTTATCGACGTCGACTTATACCTCCGCGATAGTTCATCCCGGTTCGAGAATTTCCGTTTCACAAGGCGTAAAGAGAATACGACCACGTCGACTCGGGTTCGTAATGATTGCCAAAGGAGAATTCAGACAGGCCGAGCGAGTCTCCGCTGAGAAAAGTCACCTGCGCGAACAGACTCAAAGTTTCTCGGCTGGTCGTCTCTTGGCTACGGCAGAAAGAGACTACTCGCATTAACCGTGCCAGCTGATAAATTAGTGGAGGAGACGAGTGAGACCCGAACATGTGCGCGAACGCGTGCGTGTTGGTTCGCGGCGAGTAGTCCGAGTAGACTATTTCTTTCAACGGGTCCTCTGATCTCCGATCTCCGTGGCTGACACTCTGTCTGGCAACTTTAGTGCCTTCGGATCCCACGCTTCGTGTGATACAGAAACGAACTCTTTACATACCGCAAGCTTTTAATAGGACTCCAACGACAACGCATTGTATACGGCCGGATAGATTAATGAAGAGCCGAGACCGTTCCTCTGATTCTTTAAAAGCGATCCTCAAATTCCGGATTCCCTCTCAAAGAGCGTCTCGTATTAATTTATTGAATTCACGAGAACCGTGGATGACAACGTCAGAGCTAAAACGAGGATGGCCAGGAAGACGAGACTGGACCAACAATTTCATTTACCTTTTTCTTTCGCCGAGATCGTATTCAACGATCGGATAAGGAATTTCGAATATTATCCGGAAGCTGGAATACCGCGTTAACCAGCCGCATGCTCTTAGCGGTCACAACCGGACGGAATTTACCCCGGGGTCAAAATTACCCACATAAACGTCTAAGCGTGTAAACTTGCGCCTTGGTTTTCTCGACTTTCCTCATTTTATGCTGCTCGATGGCTCATCTGCCATTCGCAAGCATTTACTCTCGTTAGTCTTATTGTACCTCGTAGATATTAGAAATCATCGCCACTGGATGCGCTTTGCGTTCATCGTCATCCGGAGCATCGACATTGGATGTCATATCCCTAGAAAGAACGAATCCAAGAATATCCCAAATAAACGTCCTGTATCTTGGCGAAGGAGCGAGACTGGAAGAATATGATAAATATTTGAAGTTAACTAATAATAACAAGAGCGTGGCAGTCGGTTCCTCTAATGACGGAAGGTTGAAAGGGAGCCGCCGAGTGCTCACCACACGTACGACATATATATACGGACGCTTTACATAACTCCCAACGCACGTACGACACGTCCAACCAGAAGGCAGGATAGTCTCGGTTTCGTCTGTTGAACCTCCTGGAAGACGCACCTATGTATCCCGGTCCATTAAACTGCCTAACCCCCCGAGAACTCATCTATTCCAGGGACGTGCGAGCAGGAGGCGAAGGATAAAAGAAGATGAATAATAATATATCCCGGGACATCCGGTTCCGGGTGTCGCGCGTGCCAATTAAGCGGCTAATAGAAATAATCGTGGCGCAAGGTATACGGAGCTAACGCAATGCCGGAACAAAGTCAAAGGTACTCATTGTTGTCGGCATCGACAATAGGCTCGCACGTAATTACGCGTAATGAATGAAAAAAGCTAAAACGCTTCTGTTGTCAGGCAAACTATAACGTCCAAAGGCTCTACGTCCTCCTGACTTTTTTCTCGCAGCGTCTTTGACGCTGACTCTGGCTTTGATATTCCTGCCAGAATATCCCCCACTTAGTAGCGCCGGGGCTTCGCTGTCCTTTAGCTTCTCTCTCGTTTCTCTCTCAAGCCCCCGTCTCTGCTTCTCCACACGTGCGCGCAGTTTCTTTCTGTTTCTTATGCTGCGGATCCGTTTGAAACGTACGTCCTATTTCCAGAGACGCCCGAGCACTATACGTCTCGTGCTGTCGCGCAACGGATACACGATTTGCCGATGTAAAATCGAACTAGACAAAAGTTCTCTGTTCGAAAGAAATCAGACGCACTGCATTGTACCGTGGAGGTGGCCTTAGGTATTGAGGGATTCGACACGGCACTCGTCTTATCGTAGAACGCGTAGAGGAGTTCGTTCACTCTTACGCTGAGCAAGTGTCGGTACGATCGTGTCTTGTTTCTCGGTTGTCTCTACCATGCCTGACTACGTTTCGTTCGGTAGAGGGAGGGAGAGAGAGGGAGCTGGAAACAAAGAAAAAACATTGCCATTGAAATAATATAGCACATTATATATATTTATAGTATATATATATATATATATATATATTGGTATATTCAATCACGTACGGAAAATGCTTTTAGAGACAATTGCCAAATTGGATAATGACGCTCGGATGAGTTTTGCAGGGATTTCAACAGCTATTTGGAATTGTTTGAGGACCGTGCACGCCCACCTTTTCGTGATTTCAATTTGACCGAACCCTTTTTAGACCCTTGTCTGTGTCTCTGTGTATCACAGGTGGATGTGTCCTTCTCGTCGGACGTACGTACAGCTTCACCCTGCGTAATGTATCAGGCTACGATATCTGCTACGAAAGAGGGTCGCTGAGCTGGTAACGGCTAATTTTCTCTATTTACTCGAAGACAGTGGCTCTCTGGTTATACAGAGACTGGATTGCTGTTGGTTAACGGTAAAGGGGTTTTAATGCACGTGCGCGTATTCCTTGCGTACAGGAGTGGATAACTTACGGAAACACGTAGAATCGGCAGAAGTCTCCTGTCCCGTGTGTATACGGTACACTAGACAACCGTACGGATTCCCTTTAGATATATGTACGGACAATGGCAAATTTTTTTTTTTTTTTTTTTACTTTCCATAGAAAATCGACAGATTTACGAGCCGGAGTTACGGCATCGCTCGATAATAGAAATCTGTTTGCGGCTCCAAACCGTTAACCTCAAAGTCAACATGAGCGAAGGCTTCGCGGTTGAATTTTAAACAACGCGTGTTGATCCACGTACGGCCAAAGTACACACGCGTGTCAATTCGAAGTTAATGTAGTCCACAAACTCCCTTTGCATCCTTGATAAAGGAGTAATTTTGAAAAAAAAGAAAAAAAGAAAATTAAAATGTCAATATACACGAATCGTTCTGTACAATCAACACACGTCATTTACGACATCCTCTCTAGATTCGTGTGCGGTATCTATACCTGTATTAATGCCTACATACCATAGATGCCTAGGGTGGGACCCAGGCCATGGGCACCAAGAACGGATATTATCGCCAAACGTTAATTTGGTCGAGGCCGGCCTACCTCCCAATTTTCGAACCCTTACACGCCCACTTACGAGATTGTCCGTTAATGCTCGAAACGTCCGAAAGCCTCGCACGCCCAGAGTATATATATTCATACGGCAAAATGCAGTGCCTTACACGCTGCGTATACCTATGGAGGAGACCCGCAGTCTCAACGGCACACCACCCCTGTCACACAGGGATGAAGCGCGTTCCATGCAAAATAGATTTGCGATTCACTAGGAAATAGAGCCGCTATGAGCTAGGAGGGTAAGCGCAAGTTATTCCACGGTGCTTACGACGAGTTATAACGTATGTACGAGTCTCGAGGAAAGAACCGGTTATATAGGAACCATCCGAACCCTTCCATTCCTCCTCCTGTTCCTCTCCTTCGGTCGCTCTCTCAACGAGCGACTCTCGCATACTCACGGCTCTCGACACCACGGCCGCCTATACGTATTCCGACTGAACTTGGCTCTTCATAACTTCACGGCATTTTATTTATTTATTTATTTTTTTCTTTTTTTTCAATCTAATCGCACGTATCCAGAAATCAAGCTTGAGAATGCCAGTTCCCCATACGTGAATGCATCCGAGCTATTGCGACGTGGACTTGTCCTCCTCGTCTTATTACTATCTCCAGCTGACTCTAGGACACGTATCGGAGATTCTAGCTTTTGGAAAAGAACTCGACCGTCCCCGTAATGGCATAAGCGTGTCGTACGACGATAGGATTAATGCGTGTAATTCCGTAGGTCCATTTCTCCCTATACAGGCTTGTTATTAATGCGCCGTCTTTGTTTTACCTGTTACAGATTCCGGATAGACAACACAGACCATATAATAGATGTGAACAAGAACAACGCAGCCTTCGAGTATGACCAGGTCAACATAATTTGTCCTGTGTACACGCCGGGCACCTACGATGACGAGGCTGAGAAGTACATCATTTACAACGTACGTTAACCTCACTTCTTTCTTGCTACGTACGATCGTGGGGCTGTATGCGCCTCTGCGTACTATACGTCCGGGGCTCTATTGGATCTTGGGTCGGTAAAAGGGAATCGAAGTACGTGGATCTGTCCAACGGGTTGTGACGAGCGCTGCGCGTCGTGTGAGAAAATTATTCATACGTGGTATCCAGGGTAGGGACCACGTGGGGATTGTATACGCGGGAAGAGGATAACGAGCACTTCCGGTTTTATTGAACTTGGAAAATCTCGCTGTTTGGACAGCTGTGTCTCTTTGGGACTGTCGTGGCAGTGATTCGATTTGTTAGTCGTGTCCACTTAGGGGCTTCGAAGGGGGTGGCGGGGGGGTTACGCTCTGATGTTGTAAGGTGTCGCTGCCATTTTCCAATTACTCGAGCTGTCAACTTCTTTGAGGTATCCCCCTACCGATTTCATCAACGCTGGTAATTTACATCGGGGAACGCCTCGCGGACCGAGATCGGCCTAATTCAAGGATCGATTAAACCGGACAAAAACGCGACGCGCATAGAATGAGAAAAAGAAGTAAATCCTAGTACAAGTCATCGATCCTTCGTAGCCGTGATCGCGGAGTGCTTGGTTACTCCGGGAGACTCTTTTCACACCAGTCAATCAGCGATTAGAGCGTCAATATGAACGTTCCTGAACGATTTTCTGCCGTCGCGGAGGCGCAGCCGGCACACACGATTATTTAAACTTGCCTAAAATTCGAGCTTTCCTCTGATCTTGTCCTCTTTGCGCTTCTCCAATGTGCCGTGTCCGCGCTATTTTCTACGTTTGGCAATGCTCCTACCAATTCATGAAAATCTCTCACAGGTATCGAAAGAGGAGTACGAGACGTGTCGGATAACGAACCCGACTCCGCGGGTAATAGCGGTCTGCGACAAGCCGAACAAGACAATGTACTTCACAATAACGTTCAGGCCGTTCACACCGCAACCGGGGGGTCTGGAATTCCTCCCAGGACACGATTACTTCTTCATCAGTACATCCTCCAAGGACGACCTCCACAGGCGCATCGGTGGACGCTGCACGTCCCACAACATGAAGGTCGTCTTCAAAGTTTGCTGCGGCAACGAGGCCGACTCGTCGTCCTCGTCGGCGACGTCGCGCAACAACTGTAAGTATCAGCCGAATCAGCGGAGGCGGATGGTACGATGGGTAGTTCGCTATCTAGTTCATAGAGGGTGTCCTATACGCGTGGTTTGGTGCCATCAGTGTTCAGGGTATCGTTAACGAGAGTTCTCAGTGAAGTAACCAGTGACGTAACCGTCGACGCTCGACGGGACGAGGCTACCTCGAGGAATCTCTTGGTTATGGCCGTCCACCGGTACACCAGACTCTTTCACGGCGATAATTTACATCGGCCGACCTTACCCTCGTCGCGCACCTTGATGCCTCTCTTGTCTCGCCATCTCCATCACTTCCCTCCGTACCAGCCGTTTCGCATACAATGGTCCCTGCGCTCGCGTAGGAACTGCTTATGGCGCTCGGACCGAAACTACTTGTCGATCAGCAATATCCGATGCGTGCACCGGCTACAAATTGCGAATCGTTAATGTTAATGTTTTGCACGTGTCAGAGCTGCGAATGAGTGACGTACCAATTTACATGGGATCCTCATTATTTCAGCCGTGGCAGTGACTAGCAGCACCGTACCGAGCAGCAGCTCGACCAGCACGGCAGTTTTGGGTGGTGGAGCTGGACTTCCACCACCGCCGCCACCGAGCGTATACAAGGGTGGAGATCGATTCTACCCAGGAGGCAGTATCCATCATCATCACGATCATCATCAACCGGCGACCGCGTCGCCCACTCTGCCCCATGTGCCTCCGCCAGCGTTCTATCCACCTCATCCTCATCAGCCCCAGCCTCCGGTTCACAATGGATCCCCGTCGTCCTCGCCGCCCAAGACTTCGATCACCCAGAAGAAGAAGAACAGTACGTACTACCCTGACACCTGCCTACCTCTGCGGTACACTCTCTACGGCACCCTGCTACGACTCCTTTTTTTTCCTCTTACCTGAATTTCGTCCTTGGGACCCAGTCCGAGTTCCTGCTGAGTCGTATTTTCTTATGCTTAAAGAAAAAGCTGTCCCATAGTTGCTTACCTATGGGAAACGGTAAGTCGGCACACTTAACGCGCAGGCACCTAAGAGTGCGCCGAGCCGTTTCCCCCGGTAACCCATCTGTTCGACCGAAGCCATGCTCGGCTCGTTGTCACCTAGTAATTTGGCCCCGAAACAGCCCGGGGGTCATTTGCATTTTACGATAAGACCAGCCGAGAGCACAGACCGCTAATAAACTATGCGTGCTCAACCGTGAACAAGGCACTACGGACAGTATTAGTGACTTAACCTGAAATTACGAGTACTTCCGCACACCGAGAGTTCACCCTTAATTCCTACGCACGCTCCTATCCTAAAGTCCCATCCACACCGCGCGACCCCACGATCAAGGCCAGTCTTACTTATCGAATAATTATTTTCACAGAGGAGTACTCGGACCACCCGAACGAAGTGGTAAAGAACGAGGAGCTGACGTACAACGGAGCGACGGCGTCGCGACGCCGGTCGTTTGCCGAGCAGGCCTTCCTCTTGACGGGGACGCTCCTCGTCGGCGTAATCCTGCCGCAGTTGGTCCGGTGAAGCGACTACCAATCAACACCCGGCGTCAACCCCCTTCTTCTGTGATTATCCTACGTTTAATTAATTTACGAGGACGTCGATCGGGGACGATCGACGAGGCTCGGTCGGCGACATGAGAATCGTCGTGCCGCGCACAGCCGCGCGTTGCGAGGAGTTATCGCGCAAATGAAAATAAAATTAAAGAAACAATCGCGCCACGCGGAACGGCGACACGGCACGAGCAAAAGCCATATTACTATTAAATACTACTACTAGACATTACGTATAGTAATACCCATTATTATCACTACTATATGGTAGTTGTATTGGTTGTCCTTCTTATCATTACGGTAATGCTAGGTATTTATTCGAAAAATACGTCGAGGGCAGCGTGCTAACTATACTCGAGCGATTCGCGCCGCGGCGAACTCGCCCGGATCGAATTAGAGAGAAAAGTGCCCGGGCGCGATTATCCTCGTTGTCCCGCGCGATCGCGTCTCCCAGGAACAAGAAAAAAAAAGACCCGAGGACACGGTCGACGCGAAATTCCGGAGTCTCGTATTCACGTCGACGTCGTTGCCGATACCCAGAGAGTCCCGGATGCTCCTCGTGAGAACGTCGTCCTATGCCGTTACTTAGTCTCGCGATGCAACGGAATCACCTCGGATCGGTACTCCGCGTCCGTTGCGTGACCGAATCCGATATTTCGATAAGATTACCCGAATGATAGATGCGAAATCAAACGCCTGATAGACGGCAGACTTAATGCTTGTAAATACGAGGGAGTTGTATGAAAAAAGAAAACCTCATGACGCAATCTCAAACCATTGAACTCCGTTTACATTGACGTTCGTCGGCATAGGATCTACTCGCGATCGGCGCCGGGACTCTCGCCGACTGCCGTCGCGACGACTCGAAGACGCTTCTCCGGAGGGTTCGTTATAGCGTGACGTAGAAAATCGCGACGCGATGATTAGCACGCGTGTAAATAAATTCCTAATGAATATGTACAAGTGGCTCTTTAGCCTGTCGGAGAGCTGTGTGCAGTTGTGTGTTGGAGGTTATGGAAGTCCTTGCGTGTTTCCATGAAGCGACTGAGTGCACCTGGTATGCGAGCGAGGAAGCGTATGGGAACTGAATATAAGTGAAACGTGTGAGTGTATAAGAGAGAAGCGAGTGAATGGGATCTAGTGCGATTCCGTGAGAGATTGATTTAATGAAAATGACGCAGGACGATTCGCAAAAATATGAAAAAAAAAAAAAAGTAACCCTGTCGCAAGAGTCGAACGTGCTTTTTTTTCATATTCGCGACGCTCTGAGCATAGCGAAGCGACGACAAATTGTTTTTCCTTCGGGCGACCGCGTCGCGAATACACATCCGACGGCGTCGACGAAGATGAAGGGGGGACAAAAAAAATTATTGGAGAAACTGCACGGAGTCCGATCGAAAGTTCTAATGAGATTTAAAAGATAAATTATGGAGTTGACTTAAGAAATAAAAAGAAAAGGACTAGTTTCTCCGTCGTGAGTGAATTTAACACAGTTTACACTACGCGACGACGTACGACGTGAGGACAATTTGTATCATAGCTGTACCATATTAAACTCCATTCTATAGATCTGTATTATATTTATTATCTATTATTATTACAGTACGCTACGGATATTCACTCGATATTCTATATTAGTAAAATATCAAATTTAATAGAAAATAAATTGCGACACGGAGGACGAGTTTCTCTGATTCTCCTGGATTCTAATTTTTTTTTTTTTTTTTTCTTTCGTGTTCACGCGTATCCGCTCGGGCAGACCATAGGTGCCACATACGTTTGCCCTGGCTAGTTCGTACAATTGGCGAATTGCGACGTGTACGGTGTATTTATTCCTTTTTTTTTTTTCTTTAAATCTCTATTCTTTATTTTATTATTATATCTTTCAACTACGTCTGACTGTAACGACTGATGACCTATTAGTTCATTAAATACTCTCTCTCTTATTTTTTTTTTTTTTAATAATATCTTATTTATTACAACCGATACCCGCGTGCTCCAATCGCGCATCGCGCAAACGCACTGATACGCGCACCGTATATGTAGACTCCAATAATAGACCACAATACAGTACTTACGTATGACGTCATGACAATGACGCCCAACGAACGAGCGAACGAATTATTGGTCGGTCACAGGAGAAAGAAAGAGAAAGAAAGGAGGCAAAAAAAAAAATAAGAAACCGCGCGAGACTAGAGAAACGAAATTGTAAATACGAATTAAATATCCTCCCAAAAAAATCCTTCCACAATCAGTCCCAAAATCCCTTAATGAATTTCAACCCCCTACGAACCTTAGATCAAATACACACACGCCCACTCACCTCCCACCATACATACACACGAAAGCTGCTTAATCAATCGACTCGTTTTCGTCATCATTATGGTTATCCTACCTGCGTCACAATGCGAATGATTGACTGCGATCAATTAACGAAGAAAAAAAAAATGAAAAAAAAAAATGAAAAAATACAACATGCGTGTATAATGTTATCCATTACAGTATTGTAAGCCTAAGTATTAAAGCGCCTCCTGTCCGCGTCTGTTTGTCTGTCCTGTTCGCGTGTCTCTTATACCGTTTAATTTATCATTATCAAGCAGTACGGCACCCATGTAAATTAATCAATTTAATCAGCGATAAAGAATTACCGACTGTATGGTTTTCTATGGTAAACACTGTTATTACCGTTACGCTTATGTATGGTGGACGGATTTTCTAGCATCTCGATTACGGCTGGACGCAGGCGTAACAAATACGTAAGAGCCTCGAGATACGAGTAGGGATAATCGAAATCAATCAGTTCTTATATATAGTTCGTTAATTGATAAATTATCGACACGTGTACCGTTACCATTCAGTTACACGTATATTTATATCTATACGCGCCTGTAAATCAGCTCGTATCGAAAGGCTCGCAAATTTGTTTTATACGGGTCCACGATTCGCGCCCAAACAGATTACGCGTAATCAGCGCATTACACTCGTCACGTGTTTCAATTATAGGTTCATGGAATCGACGCGATGATGCGAAATCGTAGACGATTTAATTTATCCGTAATCACGACTGACTCTGAACGATGAATTTTTGTAAAGTCCATAAAAGGATCCCGTTCGATTATGTTAAAGCAATAGCAATGCAGCAATGGTACATAGATCCACGTGAATGGTAACCATTCATTACGGACGATAGGTAGATACAGTATAAAAATAATTTAGACTCGAGCTATCGATAGAAAATAGACAAGGTCACTTCACTGCATTTTATTTTTTTTTCTTTCGTTTCCTATTATTTCATGTCCAAACAAAAAAAAAAAAAAGAGAAGAAATCAGCGATCACACGAGTATCGCGCAGAGTGCGTTTTTCCACACTTATGATTTTCACTATTTTTGCTCATTTTTTCATGCCAAAATAATGTGCACTGTATAAACCGAGGGTGTTCTTTCTTTCTTCTTCCTTTGGGCGGAGGAGGGAAAGAAAAAAGACAAATTTGCTAAACGCCACTCTACGCTGGTTTAACCCTCGATAATCCAAAATCCAGCACCGATAATCCCTCGCTCAAGTTTCACAAGTTCCAAATGCTTATCGTCACAGACCTCCTTTTCTTTTTTTATTATTCTTCGTTATTTTTTGTACACGACGTACCTTCTATTTCTTGTTGTGTGCGTGTCCGATAAAACCAAAAAAGAAAAGGAGAAAATAAGTTTCCACGAGAAAAACGCGCGTATCTCCCACATCAGCCTTTCGTTTCGAGACCGAGGGTAACCCTCC